CCAAAAAATCTGAGAGTGAACTCCCTGGGTTGGGTATGAAAAGAGTGAGCAGCGAGTGGACGCATGGTCACGGTGGGAGAGGCAGGCGTGGCCTGTGTGACCAAGTGCTAGTGCGCGGGTGTGACGCGGGCTTCACCGCCTGCTCACCTTGTCCCATTTGATCCTCTGCACAACTTCACTGTGAACAACTGCAGTCATCCCTACTTTAGGCAGTTCTGTTGATGTTCCCAATATTTCTGACAAAGACACCCAAACTCACAGAGGTTAGGGACCTGCCCCCATTCACCCTGTTGGTCAAAGGCAGAGTCAGGGCTCAAATCCAGGTCTGAGTCCAAAGGCCATGCTCTTGAATGCTAAGCTTTTCTGCCTCCTAGGGTAGCTGTTTTTGTCAGGTGAGGGTGTCTGACCTTGCTGGAGGGGATCCCCATGTTCCTTCAGCAAATGTCTTGCGCCACTAGGCCATCTTGGCCTTGCATTATACAGCCGGGGCCAGAGTTGTATTTGAACTTAAAGCAGAAGGCAAATGTGGGCTTCAGAACTATGAGAAACTCTGTAGCTTCCTTTCCTCTCTGTCCCCCACTCTCTGCCTGCAGGGACCTCTTCTGTAAAGCACTGACTCTAAGCTGGGAAGACAGAATAGGAGTTCACCTGGGTCAAGGGCTACGACCCTGTGACTGGTGTGGTCTGAAACCCCATTTCATCGGCTGAAGTATCACTCAAATGTGTCTGAGCTACTAGTCCCCAAATCCAAATGGCCCTGGTGAAACAGAACAGAGGAAGTCTGGGGTGACAGACACAGGGGGAGCACCTGGCTGGGTCCACATAGCAGACACACCTGGAGAGACAGCTGTTTAGCCTTTCCGCCTCTGCTGAGCAGTTCTACCCAGGACCGAAGCCCACTTGTCAAAGCCCCAGGGGAAACAGATGGGCAGGCTCACCAGGGTTTTGTAGTCGATCTGCTGGCGGATGAGCTTGTCCTCGCTCAAGGAGTAGCGGGCCTCGCCCGTGATGGCATCGATGGGGCCCTTCTCCATCTGCTGCTTGATGGCACAGAACAGGGAGAAGAGAGGCTCCCCAGCACACTCCTGGAGGTGAGAAGAACCTCACTGGGAGGAGTTCCCGGAACATCGCGTGTGCTCCCAGTCCCTGCCTCTCCAAAAGGCTGCTTCCAACCCCTGCCAAGTCCCTCAGCCTGCCCCCCCACCCCCGCCCGCACTTTTATCCTCAGCTCTTCATCTCCTTCTCTCCAGCTCCTCATCCTCAGGTTGGCCTTCCTCCTGGTTCTTTGGATCATGGGGTCTTTTCCCATTCTGCCCTTTCCTACCACTGCCTCTCCAGAGCTCTTTCTTCCTCCCTGGCTCCCCTCCCCTCCTCTCTGCTCCCCCCCAACCCCACCCTGCTCTCTCAGAGACCCCATCCAAAGGCAGAGGTCAGTCCTGGGTGGCATGAACCCCTTAGAACATAAATTAATAATTGGAAGCTGAGCCTCTTCCAGCTCCCAGGCGCATCCTTGGCTTATCTGTTGCAACATGTAGCTTCTGCACTGGCCTGGGGCCCTCATCAACCTCAGTAAATCTGGGGCTGGGAGAGGGAAGAGGGAAAGCAGAGAATAATGGGCAAATTATTTTTAGCTTCAAATGGGACTTCAGCTTTAGGGACCATGCAGAGCCTCTCAGGGCTCACCTATCCCTCCCCAGGTAGGGGGAAACCAGCCTCAGGAAGACTGTCTCTGCAGCTATGATGGACTGCAGGGATCTGTCTCCCTAGACTGTCCATGATGAGGGCAAATTCCATTGCTTGTGGGGTTATAAGAGTTCATGGTCTCCCAGTAAGGGAGGACTGGGGTGTGGAGGGATCCGCAGTCAGAGAATGAATGAGGCAGGGCCAGAAATTCGTCCACATTCAACCCTACCTTGAGGAACTTGTAGAGGAGGAAAGTGAACCAATTGGTCAGCATCTTCTCAGCCACCGACTCAGTCCTGTCAGCAGTCACCGAGCGAACCAGCGGAACAAAACAAAGAAAGAAGTAGCTGGTCAGAGCCCATGGGCTGGGAAGGACAGGGGAGGAAGTACATGCATTGATCTGCTCCTTCTAGCGTGTAGGCCAAACCTTGAGATCCTAATGAATACAAGAGTTTCATGGACTCCTAGACGCCCCCATAACAGTAAGATGAGTTTTTTCCCACAAAGCTGGAAGATGACATTTCGGGCGTCAGGCTGTGGGTGGGTTTCTGGCTGGAATGCCTTAGAGCACCACTGTACAATTGTACGTCCCGTGATGATGAAATGGCACTCTACCTGTGCCATTGAATATGGCAGCCACCAGCCACACGTAGCTACTGAGCACTTGAAATGTGTCCAGCATGTCTGAGGAACTGGAACTGAACCCGATTTATTTTTAAATAATTTAGATTTAAATAGTCACATGTGGTTCATAGTTCTCCTATTAGTCAGTATAGCCTTAGAGAACTTTATAGGCTAGATGTGTTCTTTTGGGGGAAAAAAAAAAATCCCAAACCCTGGGGAAGTACCAATTCGGCAGGGAATAGGAATAAAGGTGGCAGGAGGAGGATCCATATCAGAAGCTCAGATGGCCAAGCTGAGCCTACGGCCTGAGCTACAGGCCCCGGCGCTGGAAGCAGCAGAAAGCCATATACCCTGCTCATCCCAAGCCATGTTGAAACTGTCCTATTGCAAAGACTACTACACCCTTTGGAACTTCTCTTGGGAGCCCTTCTAGGGTTTCATTTGCAATGACAGAAAGTTCATTCTTGAGTCTAACTTGTGTCTTTCGTGCTACAGCCCAAGCCCATTTATTCTTTGACTTTGGAAGTGAAGATGCAGCAGCAGTGCAGTCAGCCCAAGGACATTCTCGGTTGCATCCATTTAGAGAAAATGAATTACATTCAAACTTACACTTAGTATGCGGCCAGCTCCAGAGAGAAACTAGCCCATCCAGGTATGTCTGGTTAGAGTTTCAAGCTGCAGTTGCCAGAAAATGCTAATAACTACAATCACAAGGTATTTGGGAGGCTGCCAGCACAAAACGAAGCTGGGAAGAGAAAAGAAGGAAGAATACGGAAAGGAGGTGGGCAGCCAGGGCAAGAAGAAGAAACGGAAGGAGAGCAGAAGGAAGCAAGAGCAACCAGGAGGGCAAGAACGGAAAACGGGAGGAGACACAGAGGCAGAGTGAGACCATGCCGGGAAGCTGTCGGTGGGAGCTCTGGCAGGCAGTGGCAACCCTGGAATTATGCCAGTGGGTGGCTGCGTGGTGAAAATAAAACAAAAATCAAAATGATCTACCTTGCTGTTTCCAAAGCTGTCAGCTAGCTCTTATATGTAGCAGACTTTTGCAGCTGTGCAGGCACATGCCCACTGCTCTAGGAAAAAGCTTGAAGTAAACACTTCTGAAAGGCAAATCTACCCACTGGACCAAGTGGGAGCCACGGAAGTCCAGCCTGAGACCCAGAGACCAAAGATGGAAGTCCAGGGGACAGGCAGACAGCAGGCAAATGGTACATGCGTGGTCTAGGCAGAGGGCTGGACGTAATGACATGACGTGGGTGTTTTCTAACGTCAGATATGCCAAGGCCAAAGGCATGGGAATAACTTGGCCTAGAGGAAAAATGGTCTTCAAGTATACAGAAGGTTCACACAGAAGCACAGATAGAGTGAGAGTCCCTATTTCCTATAAGGCCAAAGCCACAGGATAAGGTTATGTCTTGACATAGGACCTTTAAGGTTTCAACAGTGTCATGTCTGAGGCCTCCAGGGTGTTGAGTGGTGGAGTCTGGGCCCGTTTAGAGCCTACAGGAGGTGCCAGGAAACGCTTGCTGGGCTGCACAGGGTGAGATACCACTAAAGGACTTTTCTTCTGTGCTCTCAAACTTTAATATGGGTTGGGATAAGCTGGATTCCTCATTAAAATGCAGATTCTGATTCGGTGGGTCTGAGAGAGACCTGACATTCTGCATTTATTTATTGACACGGTCTTGTTCTGTTGTGCAGGCTGGAGTGCAAGAGTGAGATCATGGCTCACTGCAGCCTCAAACTCCAGGGCTTAAAGGATCCTCCTGCCCCAGCCTCCAGGGTAGCTGGAAATTTATAGGTACGCACCACCATGCCTGGCTAACTTTTATATTTTAATTTTTGTAGAGATGAGGTCTATGTGGCCTGCTATGTTGCTCTGGTCTCGAACTCCCGACCCCAAGAGATCCTCCTGCCTTGGTCTCCCAAAGTGTTGGGATCACAGGCGTGAGCTGCTGCACCTGGCCTGCGATTCTGCTTTTCTAAGAAGCTCCAGTGTGCTCCCACTGCTGTCCCCGACCCTCTGATGGCATGAGGCCAGGGGTCCTCTTACCTAATCCAACTTTGGACTTAGATAAGGCCAGAGGATGGTCTAAGTAGCCTCTGAAGATTCCATGAGAGGAGACTGCAGCAGACAGGGTCAAGAATAAGTAGAAGGGCAGAGAAGGAAAGATGGAGATTCGATATAGGGGCAAGAGAACAAGAGGGTGAGCGGACAAGTCCGTGCGTCCTTGACTCCTGAGGATAGTGGACAGGTTCCTCTAAGGGAGGCTGCAATGTAGCCCTGGCTCTGGGCTAGTTGGGAACGTGGCTGCTCTTCTAGGAGCTCTGCCTCAGTTTCCCTGCAAGGCATGATGAGCTAGGTGCATGGCTGGGCTGGAGCAGTGCGCACCAGACTGCACCCTCACCTCCTGAGCAGCAGCTTGGGGTGGTTCTTGCTCTCCAGGTTCTTGTCGATGAGGTCGGCCAGCAGCTGCTTCAGCACGTCTGTGGCATACTCTAGCTTGCTCTGCAGCACGGTCATGATGAGCGAGGCCACATTGCCGCGGTCGCGCATGGAGAAGCTGCGCTGGGACTCGAGCGTGCGGATGAAGGACAGCAGGAACACCTTGTTGTTGATGAGCTGGGCGAAGAGCTTCAGGCCCTTCTCCACACGCTCCTGCCGGTAGCCTGGGACCTGCAGAGAGACCCAGGAGTCGTGATGCCATCGGCAGGGTGGGGAGCTCAGTGACCTCCCCACGGGATGGCTGTGCCCATACTCATGACCCTCTCACCTGCCACTTAAGCCACAGTCCACCTGACTAATGCTGTCAAGCCCTTAGCAGTGAGTTAAGTATCTGATTAACCTCCATTGCAGTCCCTGGTTTAGAGATGAATCAATTGAAGCAGAGAGAGAGCATCACATGGTTAGTAAATGGCAGGGTTGGGATGGAACTCACTTCTGCCAGACTCTAGAGCTCTTCCCTGATGCAGAATTGATGAGGGGCCCTGCGCCATGGCAGAGCACCTTACAGTCTCTGGGAACTCCAGGCAGCCAGGGCTGTCATGGTTTACACCCTGACTGAGAATTCCCATTCCTGAGCTTGGGAGTAACTAATGCCCACCCCTCTCCAGCCCTCGGGGTGCTATTGACACACCAGTGGCCTCAGAGTCAGGACACTGGGTTCCATGTGGATTCTGATGCCACCTTGCTGGGTAACACTGGGTAAGTCTATTTCCTTCTCTGGGGGCCTACATTTATCCACATGATAAAGGGGGAAGATTGAGCCCAACAGTCTCTAAAGAACTTCTAAACTGTAGCTCTTGATGTTTTCTTAGGGACTAAGACCCTGCTCTATGCAGGGGAAGAGAAAGAAGATGGTTTTATTTTCCCACCTCCATTGTCTTTTCATTGAGAGATCCCTGCAAGGGGGTGTCATCCACTCAGCAAACACAAGTCAACGACTCAGGTAGGTATGGAAGACCCACCCTGAGATGTCCAAAGGTGTGCATTGCAATCCTGTCAGTAATAGCTCCAAACTGGAAACACTTAGATGTCCAGCAATAAAAGAACAGGTGGAGGAACTGTGGTGTATTCCACCCGATGGATACCACACAGCGATGAGAACGAATGACTTGTTGCTACACATGGTAACAGGGATGGGTCCTGCAAATGCACTGAATGAAAAAAGCCAGATGCCAAAGAGGGCATGCTCTTTGTAGAATATCATTTAAATAAGGATTTAAAACGCAGATGAAGTTAATCAAGGTTGTAGAAAAGTGGCTGTAACTAAAAGGGGGCACCCCAGAAATCCTGGAGGACTGGTCATGTTCTGTTTGGTGCTGCGCTGATGGGCATGTTCATGTGGGAAAAAGTCATTGAGCTGCATGCTGACAAGTTGTTTGTGTATGATCCGTTGCATACTTCTGTTAAACTAAAAAATTTATTAAAAAGTCAGCTATAGGATCCACCCTCAAGGGGGTGCTTCTGAGAACACTGCAGGTGTGTCTCCTGAAGTGGGGTGCTGGAGGAGGCAGGGGACAGGAGGGGCAGCCTGGGGAGGTGCCACGTCTTGAGGGCTCTGTCTCCCGAGGGAGTGGACACCTCAGTTCTTTGAGAGGGAGTGTCATGTATGCAGCAGTAATGAACCTGGTTTCAGAGTCGGTCATGCTTGGGTTTAATTCTGTCACACAGTCATTTCCTAGGGCCCTTAGTAGACTCAGTTTCTTCACCAGCAAAATAAACGTAATGATAGCTAATGTTGATATAGATCTTATTCCACACTGCTGTTCTGTGTGCTTTAGAAATACTGACCCACTTAATCCACACAGCACCAAAAAGGTAGGTGTGTTATAATCCCCATGAGGGACGCTGTGAGGATAAGGAGCCTCACAAAGCCCCAAGACAGAGAAGGGCAAAGGGAGGTCATGAATCCAGGCACTGGGCACCTTGTTTCATTGTCCCCAGAGGCCATGATGTGAACTGAAAGGAGAGAGGTATGAAAAGCTGGACGCACAGCCCAGCTCCTAAATGGCTGCTACATCCCCCTGCCCTACTCTTGAGGTTTTACACTGGGGAAGATGGAGATAGCCAGAGAAAGCCTTGTTTAACCAAAGTTGCAGAGGGTGGCAGAACATTCATGCCCCTCATTACCAACTCCCTGTGTTCCAGGCTCGGGGCAAGGCGCTGGCGGGAAGCAGAGTCCAGTCAGACCCAGGCCCTGCCCTGAGAAGTTCAACTAGGAGACCTGCCCCAGTGAGTCCTGAGGCTCCTTCCATAGCAGAACTCTGTGAGCCAGGCCTGCACCCTGCACAGAAGGGCTCTCATTAACCCCTCCTACTTGCCCGGCATCAGTAGCTCCCATGGATCTGGAAGCTGTAGGAAACACATGTCTTTCCAAATCAGGTCCATTTTCATTCATCTCACTGTGGTGCTGGTCCCTGGAGGGCCAGTTCTCAGGAGACAGATGGGAACAGCCAGACACAAGCAGGCTACCGCAGGCCACTGCCCCTGCTGGGGGAACCCCTCAACTTCCAAGGTGGGACTAACCTCTGCTTCCTTCATGCCCACCTCCCCCAGTTCTCCCCTCTATTGATGAGGGAAGGACAGCTTTACCTTGCCATCAGCCTGGGCCTCAATCTGCCCATCTGTCTGTCTTCCAACTCTGTGACCATCCCCTTCATACACATGGCACTGTCCTTCAAATTACCCAGAAGAGCAGTTCTACCACTTGTCCTAATAATAGTAGATAATGTCATTTCTTGGGCACCCATCATGTGCAATGCACAGTGCCTACACATTACACATATTGTTTCAATTAAGTCTTCTAATGATCCTGCAAGAGTGAGTTAACAATCTCCCAGAGAAGCTACTGCAGCTATTCCAAGGCAGCCTGTCTCATGATGGGCAGTGCTGGATTACGAAACCCAAACTTTTAGGCTCCCATGTGCCCGTGCGTCCTCCCCATCTTTCACCATGTCTAGTTCTACCCCTAGGCTTGGCAGCTGTCTGAAAGCCAACTCGGATGTCTCTCTAGCGCCTTCCCATGCAGGGCCTCCCCTTAGCTCAGGCTGGCTGGCTAAGGGAGGGCATCACCAGAAGGTTTAGCACGATGGCCTTTTGAGAGCTGAAAGAGGACATGGGCTGGCCAGAGAGCATGCTTGGTGTGAGGATGCACTCTGGACTTCTTGTGAGGTTGTACTTTCTCTGCGTGGAAAATGCACATGCCTCCTAGGAAGCAGGTCTGGGACCCTGGGAAGGAAGATTTTAGCAAAGTCACCTACAGTGAAATAGCACCCTATTCAGCAGCATGGGTTTTAGAAGCAGAGAGACCACAGTGACTCGTAGGTAAAGGAAGACTCCATCACCTCTGGGCTCTATTCCTTCATCTGTAAAATGAGAATACGAGTGTCTGTGTCATAATGTTTTATGAACATTAAATAAGATAATGTATGTAAAGTACCTGGCACGCACAGTGCACACTTAAATGGCAACAGTTTTATTACCTGCTTTTCAGACTCCTTGGACTGCTTTCCATGGATCCCTTTCCTCCAACCATTTCCCAGACATCTAGTGCATCAGGACAGTGTTTTGGGGTATGGGAGGTAGGAATTCTCTCCCCACTTTATGAAGGAAGGAGATGGAAGTGAAGTGTCTTGGTAAGAAGTATCCAAAACAGTTCCCCATTGTTACCTGCCACCCTTCCCAGCCTAAGCAAATGCTGCTCTGAAACAAGACTTTCTTTATTCACCAGATGGTTCTCTAATTTAGTTGAAGTCTTTGAGTATAAAATTGGATAGTAAATTTTAATTGTAACCCAATAGGTTAGAGTTTAGGAGCCAATGATAGCTTGAAATTGGGAGTAGATTGACTGCTCTGTGTTTTCAAGGGTTGGTACATGACAAGAAAAGTTGGGAAACACCTTTCTTGAAGGCCTGGACTTAACCCAGAGAGCCCCAAGTGACGGGGCCAGGTGGCCTCCCCTCCAGGACAGCCTGAAGCAAGAGGACACCTCCTTCTTGACACTTCCAAAGGTGAGCAGGAACCCCAGTGGCTGAAAGGGCTGGGAAGCACTGCTTTGGATTAATCAATGGCTTGTTTCCGTACCCAAAACACCAAGGGGTAGAAACTACTCCAGGGACAAGAAGGGGTTGGAAAAAAGACAAGTAAGAAAACAGTGAGCCACACACAATCCCTCGATTTCACATAGAAGGCTGGATCTCACATAGCTCCAGGCTAATGTGGGCCAGTAAAAGTTCTGGGAAAATCCAACTTAAAAGTTACATTTTTAAAGGAAACCTACTTATATTTGGAATTTTGAACTCATGAAGAAAGGAGAATAACTTTATATACTCATCCCCATTGAAATCTTATTTACATTATTCTCCATCCCATCCATAGAGCAGTATGGGGATGTTCAGACATAATTTCCCTTCCTGCAACCCCCATTTCCACCTTAATTTAGCCAAACACACAGATATTCATTTATTCAGTCATTCACCACTTCCCACATGCCCACTATGTGCCAGGCACTCTACCTGCTGGAACTTAGAACTACAAAGATAAATAAGGCACAGGCACAGTCTACACATCCAATCATACACACTCGCGCACACAATGGTGTTATCTTCTCATCACTCCCGTGTCTCACTTTAACCAGGAATTTGCATGTTCTCCAGGGCCCTAAGAGAATCCTGGTAATTTGAAGCAAACAAAGGTGAGGGTGGAGAAAGATAAAAGGAAGAGAAACACCTGTAATCCTAGCAGTCTGGGAGGCCAAGGGGGCAGATCATGAGGTCAGGAGGTCGAGATCATCCTGTCCAACATGGTGAAACCCCTTCTATACTAAAAACACAAAAAAATTAGCCAGGCGTGGTGGTGCATGCCTGTAGTCCCAGCCTCAGGAGGCTGAGGCAGGGGAATCACTTAAACCAGGGAGGCGAAGGTTGCAGTGAGCCGAGATCGCGCCACTGCACTCTAGCCTGGCGACAGAGCAAGACTTTGGGGGAAAAAAAAAAGGAAGAGAAAAATGAGTGGGGTTGGGGAAGGAGCAAAGACAAGGAGCAAGACCAATGAAATGGACAGATAAAAGTATCAAGATACACATAATGTTTTTATTTATGCATGGGCTACACATACACATGCACACATGCACACATACAGGCAGAGAGAAAAGGTGCCTTGTCGATGAGGACAGAGACCATCACTTTCAGCCTCTGAAAGTCTCTTGGTATCTATCAGCTGAGGAGCCAAAGGGAGCCTCTTCCATATAGAAAATCCCATGCCCTCACTACAGAAACACACACACACACACACACACACACACACACTCTTCATGCAACAAGCAAGTATGGCGAAATGTGTGTGCCACAAATGGCCCTCTGGACTTCTCGCATTTGCTGCAGAAGTGCACAGCCCACTACATTCCCTTGGAGAGCCCGCTTAGACATTCCCTCAGGTGTCGGTACCTGCAAACCCAAGCAACTCCCTCGTGATTGGTCTGCTTTTATTTTATGAACACTGTAAATCTTGGAATGAACCTTAGTTTGCATTGTTGCTTTGGCTGTAGATTTTTGATCCATCCAGAGCTCTAAGGCAGGTCACTGACATAGCTCCCCTGAAGGCAAGCACACAGGCCTGTTGTAGGGAGTAAAGACGCTGAAGTCTAAATGCCTGTGCTCAAATCTTCCTTCTGCCCCCACCAGCTGTGAGGCCGCAGGCAGCCACTGAACTCTGGCCCCTTAGTTTTGTAGCCTGTATAATGGGTTTACTTACTTCAGAGGCTTCTTGGGAGGTGAAATGAATGAGTGCCTGCAAAGTTTAAACTGTGCTAAGATGTTCCTAACAGTCAACTAATAGTGATTATTCCTTAGGATTATTATTTTGTCCTGGTCTTTTCTCATTTATATTTTTCACTTTCCTCGGGTATTTATAAGTCATTCGAAAGCCCTTTCAGAACAAAGTGTAGTATGAATAGACACCTAAGCCAGACACCATGCTGGACGGTAAGTGGGATAAAGTGTTCAGAAGATGAGGTCCCTGCTGGAAGAAGAGAGGGTTATGATTTCTCACTCACATTCCCGCCCTCTTCCCGACACATCATTTACCTTTTCCAATTAAGCACTAAGTGGCAAATCCCTTATATATTGAGTACCAACTTCGTGAGTCAAATCCCCTGCTTCATGGACCCTTAACCAAAGGTCCCTGAGCTTCCCCAATGTATTTGCCATGCTTCTTGTTTCTGCGTATATGTAGGTTTTTTTCTGGGGAGAGTGTCATCAACTACTTCCGTTCAATTCTGAAAGGGCTCCATGGCCCTCTAAAACCCAAAGCCCTACTCACACCTCTGCTCCGAGGTTCCCTGGCATGGCCCCGCCTCTTTCAGAGGGATGGGCTGGTGCCGATAAGCTGGGGGACCTTGGGCAGGTTGTGTACCCTCCCTGGCCTTAGCTTTCTCACCTCCGAAAGAGGGGGCTGGACTTGAAGATCGCCAACACACTCCCCGTCTCTAATGCCAGGATGGGGTACTGCTTCTTACCTCAAGGTCCCGGAGGACAGGGTGGTCTTCAATTCCTGGGAACAGCACCCGCATGGTATAGGTTCTGTAGTCCAGGAAGGGAATCCCGGCTCCATCCAGGTCACTGGTCAGCTCATGGATGTCCGTCTGCAGCTCGGCAAAGGCTGGCATGAAGAGAAGCCTGTGAGATGGCTGGATGGGGAGGCCCCAGGAGTCACCTCCATTTCAGAATGCTCAGAACCCAAGCCCCTAGGAGACATGAGCAGTGGACTGTGATGGGCAGGAATAACTGGAGAGGCTATGTTTACACAGCAGGGATTGGGATGAATGGCATTAGCATGGGAGAAAGATGTAGTGCAAGAAACCTTGTCTTGCGGCTAAAACCTTTCCAAGGTGTGGGTGGTAGGGGGTGGTGGGCGAGGCTGTCCACAGGTCTGTGCTGCTGCTAGGCTAGGACAGACTCTCCATATGAAGATGAAGGGCTTTGGTTTCCAAAATATGCTGGGGAGGGGGATGTAGAGGGGATGGGTAAGAGAAGGAGGAGAGGCCATGAGGAAGAGTCCATTCCTGATGCTGTGTTTGGTAATAGATTTCCTTATAAGATGTTAAGAACAACCCCTGATAAAGAAAAACAAGTTTAAAGACGCAAGTCTGGACCGTACAGCTCATCAGAGCCATCAAACCTCCAAATGGGGCAGAGACGGAGGCTCAGACACACTAATAGAGTCCTTCTGTATAAATCGGCAGGGTATTTATTTGTCCTTCCTTCCTCAAGGTGATGCTACTTGATGGTGAATTATGACCTGCATGTGGGCGTTGCTGTATGTGGTGGCAGCTTGGGTCTCCAGATGAACAGAGTGGTAAGACCTCTCAGGCAAGTCCAGCATGCAGTGCGGCCTGGAGTTGTTACATAGCTCCAAACCTATCACCATGTTCTGTCCTGGGCACATCCTCCCCCGGGGCCACCCTCTGCCACGGGGCTACTCAGGGGTGAGGCGCCAAGCCCTTCCCTGCTCCACCTTTCTCTTTGCTGTGTGCACACCCATGTATGTGTGCATGTGTGCACACGGACAACCAGGACAGATTAACACATGCTGGCAAAGAAGAACAGCCAGTGGGCACTGACTACTAAAATATATTTTTCTATTTACATAATCCCAAACATAGGGGGGAAATATTTTGTGAACTCAGAAGGGACAAACGAGCTCAATGTGGCTCTAGAGCCTCAAAAAGCAAGCCCAGCACCCAGTGAGCTGTGATGACCACAGGAACACAACACAGGAACCCTAGGAACTGTCGACAGGGACCCCAGTCCTGCTCTTCCTCATGTGTTGGGTGGAGTTCTACCCTGCAAAACAGACTTCAGGCCCTCAGATTTAGCCTTTCTGTGCCCGGAGAATACCAAGACTGCTCGTTTCAGAGAGCCAAAGGGATGTCACCGGGAGAGGCCTCTGCGGCCTCTCCCGCTGCTCGTCTCTCCCTACAGCCCTGCACATCTGCGCTGGCCACACAGACGCACGGGTTCCTGCTATGTAGACTGACATCAATAGCAGCGAACCCAACTGCATCCAAGTGGAGCCTGCACCAGTGTGTGTGTGTTTTTGGCATGTGCTGTCACCAAAAACCCTGGGGAACACTCATCATGTATGTCCTGAGTAAGGAAACACAAGTGCGCATGCTTATAGAAGAGTGGGAATATGTGCATGAGCATGGGTGTGGGTGCATGAGCACTATTCTGAGTGTGTGAGCATGTCAGGGAGTGTGTGTGAGTGTGTATGACCAGGTGTGAGCATGTCAGGGAGTGTGTGTGAGTGTGTATGACCGTATGTGGGCATGTCAGGGCGTGTGTGTGTGTATGAGCATGTCAGGGAGTGTGTGTGAGCATGTCAGGGAGTGTGTGTGAGTGTGTGAGTATGACCGTGTATAAGCATGTCAGGGAGTGTGTGGATCCCCGTGTATGAGCGTGTCAGGGAGTGTGTGAGTATGACCGTGTGTGAGCATGTCAGGGAGTGTGTGTGTGTATGACAGTGTGGGAGCATGTCAGGGAGTGTGTGTATGACTGTGTGTGAGCATGTCAGGGAATGTGTGTGTGTATGACAGTGTGTGAGCATGTCAGGGAGTGTGTCTATGCCTGTGTATGAGCATGTCAGGGAGTGTGTGTATGACCATGTGTGAGCATGTCAGGGAATATGTGTGTGTCTATGCCTGTGTATGGGCATGTCAGGGAGTGTGTGAGTATGACTGTGTGTGAGCATGTCAGGGAGTGTGTCTATGCCCATGTATAAGCATATATGAGTGTGTGTGAGCTTGTCAGGGAGCGTGTGTATGACCATGTGTGAGCATGTGAGGCAGTGTGTATGTGTATGACTGTGTGTGATCATGTCAGAAAGTGTATGACAGTGTGTGAGCATGAGTGTGTGTGTATGTACGACTGTGTGTGAGCATGTGTGCATGAGTGTATGTCAGTAAATGTGTAGACATGTGTGAGTGTGCATGTCAGTGAGTGTGTATGCATGTGTGAATGTGAGTGCGTGGGGCTGTGAATGAATGTATGTCAATTAGTGTGTATGTGTTTGAATGTGAGTGCCTGCGTGTGGGTCTGTGTATGTGTGAGTGCAGGAGTGCATGTGTGTGTATGCATGTCAGTGTGAGTGCATGTGTGTGTGGTGTGTATGCAAGTATGAATGTGAGTGCATGAGTGTGAATGTATGTCAGTGTGTGTGCATGTGTGAGTGCATGAGTCTGTGTGATATACATGTGAATATGAGTGCATGGGCATGTGGGCATGTCAGTGTGTGCATGTGGGTTGAGTGCATGAGTGTATGGTGTTCATGCACATGTGCATGTGAGCGCATGTGTGTGTATGCATGAGTGTAAGTGTATATGTAAGTCTATGTGTGTGAATGTGAGCACGGGTATGTGAGTGCCTGAGTGTATGTCAGTGAGTATGTGAATGCATGAGTGTGTGAGCATGTCAGTGTATGTGGGCATGTATGTGTGAGTGCACAAGTGAGTGTATTGAGTGTGCATGCATGTGTGCCTGTGAGTATATGTGTGAGTGTGAGTTCATGAGTATATGTCAGTGACCGTGTTGTATGAGAGTGTGTGAGTGTGAGCATGTCAGTGAGTGTATGTGGGGATGTGTGGTAATGTGTGTAAACATACGGGTAGGTTTATACATATCAGAAGCTCAGGCCCATGAAAGTCTCAGCTGGGTGTCTTCTGAGTTTGTGTGAAGGATGTCCTGGCTGGCTGGGAAGCCTTCAAGAAGACCTTTTGGCTTGGCCCAGTGCAGCTGGCTCTGGGCACCCTGCAAAGTGCTTCTGTGGCTAGTCTGACAAGTCCTTTGCTATAAGACCCCCTTTTCCTACATGCACAGCATAGCTTGCCCCTAAAGTCTGAAGCCAAGGCTCCCTCCTGGGGCCTCAGCTGATAATCTTGGGCGGAAGCACCCCTTGGCTGCCCCCTCCCAGCTGGGGTCTTGGCCCACAGGGAGGAGAAGGAGGGGGTTGGCTTTTTATCGTCTGCAGCTTTCCTTTAAGTCACCAAGCACCTCCAACATTCAAAGCTGCGTGCCTGCCACACATAAAAGAGATTCTAATCACTACACCTAATTAGAGGAAAGAGTACATTGCGGAGAAAAAAATTAAGCAGCATAAATATAATAAAAGGCAGTAATTAACAGTCCCACAAGGCGGATGCTGTGTTGACAGCTGAAGGATGTAGAGAGGGATGGGATGGATCCACTTCCCCATCAAAAAGAGCTGTGGCTGCCCTGGTGGGAATCGGTGTGATGTGAGAGCTCCAGGTACGGGGCCGGATTTACTCCATGTATAAATCTACAGCAAAGAACCAGCTCAGATCCTCCCGGGGTGAGTCACAAAATGATATCCTGGGGGTTACAAGAGTCTGACTCCTAAATTTCCTTCTTGGATTTTGTGTAGCTGATTTCACTTTATGGTGGTGTTTGTAATTTTTTTTTAATCGAAGCTGTGAGACACCCTTCCTTCTAAATCACAGATTAACCCTACAGCCTTACCTTCCTGCTCAAGGAAGAAAGCTGAAGATTGCTGAAATGTGTCATGTTAAGACACCCCCAGGTCTCCCCTTGACAGTGCTGCAAAACATGCTCAGCCAGGATTCCAGGTCTGGAGGCTACTCTAGTGAGGTGGAGAATGATCCTAATCTGACACCTTCAAGGAGAAGGTGAGGCGGCCTTGGTCTCTCTGGTGTTGCCAGCGTGGGGCCTGCCTGGGTATGGGTGTGGTCTGGGACATAGGCATAGGGACTATAGAGTGAGAGGCTTTACGGGTAGGATGCACAGCCTCCAGCCCCGCTCACAGCTGCCCGGCCTGCTTGCTTAGAAACGAAACACCTACACATACATATACACACATATACACACATAAACACACACACACACACACACACACAGCCTCCAGCATTGCCTACAGCTGTCTGGCCTGCTTGCTTGTATATGAAACAAACACACACACATACATAAACACACACACACACACACACACACACACAGCCTCCCGCAATGCCTGGCCTGCTTGCTTATAAATGAAACACATACACATACATACACACACACACACACACACACACACACACACACACACACACAGCCTCCAGCACTGCCTACAGCTGCCTGGCCTGCTTGCTTGTATATGAAACATAAATACGTACATATATAGATATGTATGAAACATATATACACACACGCATGCACACAGAAACACATAGCCTCCAGCACTGACCACTGCTGTCTGGCCTGCTTGCTTGTATAAGAAACAAATACACACACATACATAGATGAACGCTCACACACACACACACACACATGCACTCACACACACAGACACACACACAGCCCCCAGCAATGACCGCTGCTGCCTGACCTGCTTGCTTGTATGTGAAACATATATACACACACAATGTGCACACACACACGCATACACACAGACACACACACCTCCAGCACTGCCCACTGCTGCCCAGTCTGCTTGCTTGTATATGAAACATATACCTACATATGCACAGATGCACACGTGCACACACACACCCACATGTGCGCACACACACATGGCCTCCAGCACAGGGCCTCTCAGTACCTTCCTTGCACTCCAGGGCCACGCGGGACTCCAGGTTGTCCATCTGCATCTGCAACCGCTTCAGGGTGAGGTCACTTTCGCGGGACTTGCGTTTATAGGCGATGAGCACAGCCACGATGAAGATGATGAGGAGGCCGCCAGCCACAGCGATGCTGACGATGGCAGGCAGGCTGAGCGGGCTGTCAGGCGCGATATACACCATTCCCGGGGAGTATTCCATGCCACCAACACGGGCCTGGGGCACATAGGGCAAGAGGGAGCTGGGTGTGAGGACACAGAAGCTTTGGCAACAGTCCCGAGTCACCCATGAATTGGTGACCAGGGCAGGATGAGGGAAAGGAGAGACCAATCACTGGTGTTGAAATAGACAAGAGTGAATGAGGGGCTGGAAGTGGACAGGCACAGCTCAACAGAGCTCACCGCTACCTGGAAAAACCCCACCTCCTCTTATTCAGGAGCGAGTTTTGTCATCTTCATAAGGAAACAGCACACAACTGGGACCTAAACACAGTCTGCCACCAATGACTGGTTCCCCTAAGATTTATACCCATTGTAAGGGTGAGGACAACTGAGGCACAGAACATGATATTCAGATATCACGGACTTCCTGGGCCAGCAAGGGCCTTATTCTTGAAGGCTTTCTTGTTTGTGGCAGGTGATTTAGCAACTGCTTAATGCTGTTTTGCATTTTCCTTATTGTTGCACCAGCCAGCATGGAAAGAATGGCAATACAGAAGGGAGAAGCTCAAAAGTGGACATGAAGAAGGAACTTGGGGTGCAGGGTAGCTAAAGGGAAGCTCTTGGTGGGCCAGAATCCCCTCCTGGAAATCACTGGTGGCTGAGATGGAGCTGGACTGCTCACATCCGTACCCCTCCTGCCCGCTCCAACCAGGATGGGGTTCTGCCAGGCTCACCATCACTTTGTGCCTGCCAATGAGGTTGGGGGACTCGCAGAGCAGCTGCACATCCGACACGGTCACGGTGCACGGCTTCTCCCCAACCAGCACGGTGTAGTTCAGCTTCACATTGCCCCCAGCCACGGGCGGGATCAGGTTCTTGCCCTGGACAGACGGGAAAGCCTCAGTTCCCACCCCAGAGTGAGGACCACAGCTACCAGCTGGCTCTCACGTCCTCCCACCTGGAGATCCCATCCTGCTGGTGAGCTGGTGAAGAAGCCACCTTTGGCATTAAGTCCAAAAAAAAAAAAAATTTGTGGTACGTATACTACCATTAACTCTTCCTCCAAGTGGGTAATCAATAATCAAAGCACTCCTTTCAGCTTATCCCAAATGCAGCCTCAGAACCCTTCTCAATGCAGTGTTAGAGTCAGTCACTACCAATGGATTCGAATTGTCATGAGTTTTAGTTAACTGTGACCCATGTTCCAAAGGAAGCCTGTGCTGTGGTTTGCACAAGGTTGCCTCAGAGGAAGCAGTGAGCCCCTGACCTTCCAGCACCTGGACTGTCAGAACAATAAAAGCCTGAGAGTCAAAGAGCCTCTTTGACTGGATCTGCCTGCCCTGGATAGAACCAGCCTGTAAAGAGAGTTTTCTTCCCAGTACAAACTCAGAACATGCATCACTCTCTGGGCTACACTGCAACCTCTGCAAGAGATGCCGGTTGATTAAAGTGGCAGGAGCCAGTGATTTGAATACCCCCTTCCATGCGCCAGCCCCTCCCCCCACCCGCCACCCACCACCCTCACTCCACCTTTAGGATGATGGGTGTGCCAGGCTTGAGCTCCAGGATTCCTGAGGGTCCAAAGGCCTCAAACACCGGGTTGGGATAGTAGGTAAAGTTGGTCTTGTTGAGGATGAGCAGGGACTGGACGTTGTCCAGGATGAAGCCAAACTCCTCGGGCCTCTCAGTCAGGTCTGACTGGTGGTCAGGACCCAGAGCAAGGGCTGGCGCCTGGCAGGTCATCTCAGTCGCGTTCAGAACCTCACAGATCTGTGGGAGGAGCCACAAGGCGGAGTCTATGAAGTATCTCCACATACCCACAACCCCGGTGCGTGTACGGGGCCTCCCTGGATGCCAGCGGGATAGTATGGGGTTGACAAGAGGATTAGGGATGGGTCGGGACCACACAAGTGGGCTTTCAAGGAATAAGCTCTATAGCTTGCATTCAGCTCCGATTTTGTGGGTGTGGCAATGGCTAGGGTCAGAAGAGTGGAAGAATAAAGGTATAAAACCCCACGTACCCCAAAAGTAATTGCTCCTGCATGCCTATACCCCAAGAAGTAAAACTGCCCTTATGTCTGCTCCCCCATCCCACTATCCTAGTACTCAAGGGTGTCGCAGGCTGTAGATCATCAGTGCATGGGCAGGGAGTCACCTGAGTACTTGGGAAGCCCCACACCCTTTGGGGAAGCAACGTGTCGCATGGGCAGCCTTCATGAGCCCTGCCAGCCTTGCACTCACGTTGATGTGCTCCTTCCCTCCATGCTTGGCACGGATCTGGGGGTTCTGTATGAGGTCCAGGTGAGTCCCCCATACGGCGATGGGTGTGTTTCCACTGAGCAGGAAGAAAGAAGGAGGCGTATAAATCGTTAAGTTCAAGAAGAGCAATGGCATTCCACAATGATGACTGACTGAGCTATATGACAATGAAGACAGTGATAACCAGGCAGCAGGGTAATGTTCATGGGGACAAGGATGACAAGCTGACTGCATAGGAATGAGGACGGCCTCTCAGCAGTCAAGGGGAGGACAGTGATCAGATGTCTGTGGCCATCCTTTCCTGAGTTCGTTCAGAGCATGGACCCCCCATGGAGGCCCAGTCGGCAGCACAGCCCCCTTGGCTCTCCAAGACCTCCTCATCTGCACCAGCTGCTTCTCTGCAATCCCGTGGTGCCCCTTCCTCCATCCTTCCCCTGGTCCTCGCCAGTCTTGGGACTTTTTAAACATTAGCTTTGGCCTCATGAAAGCCTGGCTCCAGATTGTCCCCACCACACCCTCCAGGGGCTGAGCACAGTCTGTTTCCTCCAGGCAATCATTCTTCAAGTTTCCATCTTGGAGGCTTCAGTCAGGCTGAGATCTGGGAAAGGTAGAGGACCCAGGAATGCAGATGTGAATGCAAATGCTAAATGCTCTGGGAATCAGGTCTCCTGCACCCTGGGGTGGCACAGGACCGTTGACGGGGAGGGCTTAGGAGCTTCACCTTGTATAGACTTTCAAAAGATACCTGGATACCATTGCCCATCCTTAGGGCAGCTGAGAAGTAGGCATAAAGGGGTGGGCAGTACTGTGGTGGACTGTGTTCTCCAGGGGGGCTACTCAAAGAAAAATGAGAAATAGCCTGATCCCCAATCAGAGGAGCATCTTTGAGAAGAATCCTGCTAACTCAAACAGACTTTAGCAAGTTAATTAGCTATAAGTTGATGAGTAAAGAATCCTTGACACACACACCCACATTCATTTCCACCCATCCGTGCATCTGCCTGTCTTTACATTGCCAGTTGCTTCCCCCTCTCCGTGCTCACATGCGCTTGCGCACGCACACACACACATACACATACACACACACATTCACGCACACACAGAGGAAGATTCCTGTGAAACTCAGAGAGGCTCTTGCACACATGACAGTGCTGGAGATGATCTTCTGGGCTCTAGTCATCTTCCCAGTCCTCTCCATCACCAATTCAACACACATTTATCAAATGCTCACCATCGCTGTTCATGAGTAACCGAGGCTGCTTATAAGAGCAGAGCCTTACCCCCATCCTCAGACTTTGTCAACTTAAACAAAAGCCCTGGAGCTGGCTGGCAGACTCAGACCATGTCTGTCTCCAACTTCCCTCCTAGTGGGAGCATAATGCAGGAACAGCACCTGAGTGCCAGGAAGGGTGACAACTCTACTTCTGTGAGGATGGCACAGAGAAGAACTGAATGACACCAGACTGTGAATTTCGCAGAAAGTTGCAAAGTTTGTTGACTAAGACACAAAGGGCTGCATCAACTTTCTGGGGACAAATCCCAGCATGGCTTTCTACAGGTGATTTTCTCCTCTCTGTGCCTTCTGGTCTTCATCTGCTTTAAGTTCATGGCTAAAGCTTAGAAGGTTTGAGCCTTGTAGAGTAACTGCTGAGGACGGCCAAATCTCATCTCAGCAGGCAAAGGCTGTCTTTCTTTCGGGTTTAAGGCAGGGGGTGGCAAACTCTTTCTGTAAAGGGCCAGATAGTAAATATTGTAGGCTTTACAGACCATATGGTCCCTGTCGCAGTTACTCAACTCTGCTGTTATAGTGAGAAAGCAGCTATAGACAATACATGTACGAATGAAAATGGCTGTGCGCCAATAAAACTTTATTTACAAAAGCAGGTGGCTAGCCAGATTCAGCCTACAGACTGGAGTTTGCTGATCCCTGGATTAAAAAAAGATTGTTCCCTGGACTGGACACACCCCTGCTCCCTCCCTCAGCCCGGGGAGCCTGCTTCTGCGTGTACTTCCTGCTCACTCCCCCAGACCCCTGAGAGCTGAAGCAGGCAGTGAGAGGCCTGGACCCAGCAGGGGGCAGGGGGAGGGGCCGAGCCAGGCACTGCACTGTACATGTGCATCTCACTTTAGTCTCTCAGCTGCCTAGGAGGGAGTGGACAGATGAGGGACTCTGGCCCCAGGGAGGCGAGATCACTGTTAATGTCACTGGGCTGGTGAGCCGTGGAGCTGGGCTGAGATCCTTCCCACACTGCCCTGACACAGTAATTTCCCAGTGACCTCTGTGAGCCTTGTTGTGGGGTCCCCTCTGTAGCATCGTCTCATTTCCATGTGCCATCCAGGGCCTGGAAAGGCAGACTCATGCCGTGTGCCTGCCCCTTCTCCCCTGATGGGAGACTTACCACCCCAGGGACCCTAGAGATACTAGGATTTCAAAATCCATGGGTGAATCACTGAATAGGCAGAGGCCCAGAAAGAGTACAAATTTTCCCAAGGTAAATGAACGTCCCCAAGTCCCTGCCCCAGGGCCTTTCTATACCAACATCCAATGCCTGGTCCCCTCCCTCAGGGACAGCTGTTCAGTGCATCTGGCTGGGCACTGAGAAAGAGCAGGGAACAAGACCTCAACTCTACCCTTGAGGAGTTTACAGCAAAAGGGAGGAGAAATGTAAGCAGGCAGCCAGGAGCAGAGAGGTTGGGTGTCCAGATGGGGCCTTCAAGCTCAGGACACAGCTTCCCCCAATAGCAGACCAAGGAGTAGTCAGGCCTGATCTAACTCCTTCTCCCACAACCCTCAGCCTGAAGGTGGGACCAGAATTAGCACCTATGTTTATCAGAAGTGAGAAAAGTAGTCTGGCACCCCCAATGGTCACTGCAGCATAGGGACATGGCCTCTAGCACAGTGCCTGTCTTTAAACTAGAAAAGGTGGGCTCTTGCTGTTCAGAGCTTGGCCTTCAGGCTGGGCTTGGCACAGAGGTGCTCTCAGTGGAAGGAGGGAACCATAGTAGAAGGAAGGTCTGATTTGGGGGTGTGTTTGGAACCAGTCCCAGCTCATCAGTCACCCAAGCAGGACTGGGCCCCCTGAAGTCTCCTTGGCTTTTGAGAGTCAGGGAAGGGAAACAGAGGTGCAGAAGCGTTAAGGTCTGCTTGGGCCAGCTCCTACCTAACGATGCTCCATTCTGGCTCAATCCTCACGATGGTAGGGTCTTCCACGTACTGGAAAACGAGGTCCTGGTGGATCTTGGCCCTGTCCACCTGCACCGACACCTTCATCTCCAGCACCTCATCTGAGGACGTGGTGTTGCAGACAATGTAGGATGGAGATCGCCTGGAGGGCGGGAAGACAGAGCACTGGGCGCGTGGTGTTGAGGAGGACAGAGGTACTGAGTCAGGGCCCTCCCACACCCCTCCCTGCATGTCAGGGTGCTCAGAGGCCATGGGTGGGTGCTCTCAGAGAGAAAGCTGGAGAGCCAGTGTCAAAGACTCTCTCCTTGGTCATACTTTAGACAGGTTCCTCTGAGCCCTCTTTTCAATCAGGCCTCGTCTAGCCTGTCTAGCCCCGTTTTTAGCATGAATCCGGCTAAATCTATTTGGGGAGAATCCGCCCGCACCTGATATCTGATCACCCTGGCCTGCCTTCAGCAAGAATCAAGTTAAGTTGGTTTAGCACGAACCTGCCTACTTTGATGTCTCCTCTTAGTGATTTTCCATTCACTGAGCCCCTTATTCTGCTTGTTGGCTATAAACCCCCTGCTGTCTTTGCAGTATTTGGAGTTGAGCCCCATCTGTTTCCCCTGTTGCAGTAGTCTTGACACCAATTGCAATCCCGAGTCCCGAGAAAAGTCTTCCCTACCATTGTAACAAGTGTGAGAATAATTGTTTCCTTAACACTACCAATGCCAGGTCAGGCCGGGTCTGACTTGGGAATTGACATAGCCCTCAGCACAGCTCTCTCGGGGAGGAAACCTCTCTCTGGGGAACTTGAGGCCAGCTGAGGGAGCATCTCTAGCCGCATCACCTAGAGTCCTTCACTGGACTAGAGTCCTCCTGCCTTGCTCC